GATTGATTGCTCGCAAGGACCATGTAATGATTTATTCCCATATTAATGACTATTATACGTGCATGGACTCGGAGCGGCGGCACTTGGTGGAAAAGCTCACCGAGGGAGAGAGGAGGAACGGCGACGAACTTTTAATAATGATTCATTGTTCGTTCGTTAAGCTCTCGTTGATTTTCGTGAATTAATCATACTTAGAATTACGCTGGTCTCGACTGCTTCAGAACTCGTTCCGCGCAGACACAGACCGCTTGTACGACGAAGTTTAAAAGCTCGTCATATCTAATATAAGGAAAGGTGCAGTGAATTAATCACAGATGATCCAACTTTTAATTATTTACCGGGTCTAAACTGTTTTTAAAAGATTTTCGCAAACTATAAAGTAAGGGTTAACAGAAAATTAATTAATGCATAGCGGTAAGTCTGTGAAAAATTGTGAATTACTGTTATCTGTCTATTTCAAAAGTGGCTATTGAAAAGCAACACAATGTTCTTTTCAGTTGACGCTATTTTTCGACACGTTAATGAGGAATTCTAGTATAGAGCAATGAATTTTAGGTCATTTTTAAAGTGTCGTAAAAAAAAGTAATGAATGTTTTTACTATCCATTTTTTTACCACTTGTTTATTAATATTATTAAAATACAAAATAAAAATAAAAAAGTTGAAAATTGTAAAAACTGGCAGCTGATGAAGTGGGTGGTCTCAAAAAATTGGCACCTTAGTCTTGACATGATTTCAGCCCTCCTAGCCATCAGAAATGCAAAAAATAAAAAGATTAATAATCTACAATGATGTCGCAATCGCCCGAACTGGCGATGAGTAAAAAAATTTTTTTTTACAAATTGGCGACAGTTTGAAAAAAGTGTTTTTTTACTGCTTTTTTGAGTTTCTCGAATTTTTTAAAAATAGTAAAAATAGGAATTTGGGGATAATCCTAGTTTGGCTATAGATAAGTTACAAACAAAACTCTCTGAACATTTCAAGTGAATCGGTCGATTAAAACTCGAGAAATTGTGTCAACAGTACTGAAAAAGTCTGTTCTGAGAAAAACGCATTTTAAGTTTTGCGTGAAGCCAAACTAGTATGGAGATCGAGCCAGTAAAATGCCTATATCTCCGAAGATAATTCAAATTTTCAAAAACCTGCTCGTAATCATATTCTTAGATAGTTAAACTTTGAAAATATGAAATATAAAAATCGATTTTTTTGAACTTCTACACTAAAATACCCCCTTAAAGGTAAAAAACCAGGTAAAGGTTGGGGTAGAGTAAAGGTAAAGGTAAATGTAAAGGTACAGGTAAAGGTAGAGTAAGGTAAAGGAACAAATAAAGGTAGAAGTACAGTGAAGGTAAAGGTAAAGGTACATGTAAAGGTAGAGGTAGAGTAAAGGCAGTGGTAAAGGACCAGGTAAATGTAGAGCTGGAGTGAAGGTAAAGGTAAAGGTAATTGTTTTTAATTAACTAGATTTTTTAATATTAATATATATTATTGACTTTCGAACCAAGTTAATTGGCATACAATTATTTTTATTTTTTTTACTCTTTATCTTTACCTTTACTCTAACTCTACTTTTACCTAGATCTTTACCATTACCTTCACTTCATCTCTACCTTCACTTTTACCTTTACTCTATCTCTTCCTTTACCTTTACATTTACTCTTGAGGTTATATATCTACATTACAGGAATGACTAAAATTATTGTGTAACTTGGCATTAAAATAAATTTAGCTATTGGAAATAAATTTGTTCTATAAATTGTAGGGTATAATTTCTAATATACAATTTTATTGAAAATATTTCAATATTTGTTTATATGTTACATGGTTTTACATCGCTAATTTGAATTTCACAGTATAATTAAAGAGTTAAGTGAGGGACTTGAGAATCAACATTTTATTTAAAGCAGTGATGTATAAACATTTTGGTATAGACTGTAGTGTAAATAAAAATAAATTTTTAACCAAATGGTAAATATCAGTATAGGTTATTAAAAAAAATTGAACTTTTGATTTGTAGACATGGGTACAGGACAACGTCTGTCGGGTCAGCTAGTATATATATATATATATATATATATATATATATAAATATTCATATTTATCTACAATGTGAATTCAATATACATCAAGTATTAAATTCTGATTACTCATTCATTCACGTACCTGTTCCACTTCCCATACGAATAAAAATATCTCATTTCTAATTGAGCCTGAATTTGACTTCCTGAATACTAAAATGAATACAATATAACATGTCTGCATATTTCTGATGGAAATACTTTTTCACAATTTTCCCGAGATATGGGCGTACAACATATTTGCCTCTCTAATAAGCCTCCGTCTGTATACACGGAGTAAAATGTACCGTGCGTACATTTTCCGTCCTATACGCGTGCCCACTTACACATCACAAATGTGATGTCATGAATTCTAGAATGCTTTTGAAGTACACATGAAGATTCCTCAAAGAGGAAAATTTATTTACTGGTTTTCATACCGACTGTGAAATCTATAGGAAGAGAATACTAGGTCAAGTAGATAAAAAACTAGCTGTAAGTGGAATTCTGTCTTAAGGCAATTAGGGCATCGTGCCTTAGGGCAAATTGCTGGAACTTCCCGTACCAAAAATTATTATTATTTTTTTAAAACGATTAACATTTTTGAAAAAAAATTACTTTGAAAAAATAAGATTTTTGAGAAACTATAAATTGGACAAAAAATTAGTTTTTTTCGAAAAAAAAAATTTTTTTAAAAAAAAATTTTTTTCAAAAATTTTTTTTTTTGAAAAAGTTTTATTTTTTCTTTATTTTGACATATTGTGGAAGATCTGAACTTTTTTTTCAAAGCAATCGTACTGCTTTAACTACATAGGGACAAAATATAAAGCGCGTAAACGCCGCGTCGCTGTCTAACGCATAAGCATTGGTACGGAACCGATAGGAATGTTAACAAAATGTATACTTATTGTTAAAATTTCTATAAAATATCTGATAATTTGATGTGCATATGATAATGATCATTTTTAATCGCCAAATGGCTCATTTTTTTACTTTTTCCTCTATATCTCCGAAACCGCTGGACCTACCTTCATGAAAGTTGTATCGATTCTTCATCTTGTCAATACAAATAAAATGTTTTTTGAATTATTAAAATCGGACGCTCCGTTCTCTTAAAAACTGAGTTACCGTTTTCGAAACTTTTTGCCCCCTATCTTCGGAACGGCTTGACCTGCCTTTGCCAAAAACTAATCAGCACGTCTCCTTATCAATACGGATCGAATGTTTTTTGAATTATTCAAATCGAATGATCCGTGTTCCCGAAATCGTCGACGAAAATTTGTATCCGCACATACATACACACACATACATACATACACACACACATACACACACACACACACACACACACACATACATCCATTTTTTCTAAGGTATGCCAAAATGTTCAGAAACCTCTGAAACGTAAAGATATATAAAAATTTTCATTTTCGATTTTTTTGCGATTACTATAACTTGCCCTACGGGAAGTTAAAAATTAAATGAAAATGTCTTATATGCTCAGATAGTTCTGAGGATGATCGATAAATCATTTGTTTTGAGATCTTAAATTTCTTGAGCAGAAATTTTGAATTCTCAAACTCTGACTAATTAAATAAATACTAAACATCAACTGGACAGTAGTTTTAATCCCAATATTCAACAACGTTTTCTTAGTAGCGTTTATCAAGTATAATTTAATCTCTATCAAATGTACGTTTAAATGTAATGTTTTCTCAATTAATTCTATTTAAATGAATCATATTCAATATTCTACATTTCATTAGGTTTTCTATTTTCAAAGTTTTGGTATCTGAATCTCTAAAATATACATTTTCGAAATTGAATAACACACTTTTAATAATGTAGGGTAATACACTTTTTAACTAGTTGTCAGTAGCATTTTGCCCTAATTTTATTTTTGTATACGTACACATGATTAAATTAATTAATATGAATTGAAATTAGGTTATTTAGGTAAAATGTTTAACTTTTATGTCAAAAATAACTTTTCCGTTTTCACTAAAAAATCATCCATTCGGTCTTTTAATTATACTTTTATTATTTGTATGTTAATAAATTAGTTAATTAATCTTGTTTAAAATCATTATTTTCATCTATTTCGTATTCTGGTAATGTATTATATTCAAGTATGACGTCAACTGTAATCAGTAGCTACCTAAGAAACACCACGAATGTACATATGCTTCTGATTAGAATCGCTTAGCTTATGGCGAAACTCTATTTTTTTTGGTTTTTATAATTAAATCGCTTATCGTAAGCCTAAAATATTTCATTATCCTATTCTAAAGTACGAAAGCTCCATCAAAATAAAAAAAAAATCAACAAAAAACGGCTCGGCCGATTTTTACTAAAAACTAATCAACGCGATTCCAATTCAATATAATTCGAACAATTTTTGTATTAATCCAGAATTGTAGGCTAAAACGTATACAAAAAAAAATTACACGTTTTTTATTAATTTCAAGGCCGATCGTCGCACAAACTATTAAACGCTAGACTTTATCGAGTTTTATGAAATGACTTTTAAATAGAATTTTTTCGCGAAAAAACATAAAATTCTCTTTCAAGGAGTTAAAAAATTATAATTTATGAAAATTATAATATTGATTTGAATCGAACAATATTTTCGTAATTATTTATGCAGAAATAGTATTATAAAAAAAGTTGTATCATAAATGTAGGACTTCATAAAAATTATAACATTAACTAGCCATTTTAAAGCTTTTTTTATAATTGATAGAAAGTTATTGCTTTTAGTGGAATCCGATAAATTTAAAATTCACTGCTAAAGAATTATTTAGTGACTCTTATAGATGATATATTCTATTCACTCATTAGTTGATATGTTAATAATTAATAATTCAGTAAATTAGGAGCTTTACATAAACGACATTTTATAAATACTTTTTTGTATGAAATTTTTCAATAAATTGATCACTTACCTTGTGTGTAGCTCATGCCTGCAGAAAGTCACGTACTTCCATATGAAAACATCACTTTTTGGATTGCAAGACCACTAATTGTCCACACTGAAAAAAATAAATATATTAGTAAACATACTATTAGTAAACTATTTTTTTAAAAAACTAAATTATATATTTATTAGTCTTATATATTAACCAATTTGAATATTAATATCCAGCAATTGTCAACAATCAATATTTAATAAAAACTTATTAATTTGTATCACAATCTTATATCTTTCTTGATAATAATGAGTTGTTAGGACATAGTGAAATAGTTCCAAAAAATCTATAGTGTGTAACAGGAAAAGAATATGTTGCAGTAGTACCGTTTAATATTTGATGCCAATGCGACAAGATTCGGCTCAGAAAACGTGACACTACACAACAAATATGGGCCACAAAAAGGACATTACATACGGTTCGAAAACACAGAGGCGGGCCTACATTAAAGATATCATAAGAAAAATCGTTTTATATGTATTAAATTCAGAAATCGAATTGAAAATTTGCCTTATTGATAGTTATACATTTTTATATGATTTTTTTATATATACATTATTTACATATCTCAGACAGACAGAAATGCCTGGTATGAGAGATTATGAAAAGAGTATTCATATTTTATATATACATTTCATTAATATAATATCTATTATAATTAATATATCTTTCTATAGCTCTTCAGTCTTCTTTGTCTTCAATTTCCTTAAAGTATTTCTTTATATTTCTTTTAAATTTATCGTCATCATTGGTCATCTTAATATTGTTTGGCAAATCATTATATATTTTACTAGTGCTCAATATGACATTTCCTCTCAACTTGTTTCTTCTATTGTGTTCAATATGAAAATTGTTATGTTGTCTAAATTTAAATTATTATAAACATAATTCAAACACTAAATCGCTATTTAGTACATGAATCATTACAGTACACAACATGCATTAAATTGAGAAATCAAATTGAAAATTAGCCTTATTAATATTTATACATTTTTAAATGCATTTTAAGAAATGAAAATCTAAATCATCATAAACATAATTCTAGCACTAAATCGCTGTTTGAATTGTTTATGACCATGAATCATTATAAATATTATTGACAGATTTTAGAGAATGTAAATGTCTTGTTTGCATTTATTAGATTTAATAAGTTAAATTTTTAAACGATAATGGCATATGTGGATATATTGTATTAATTTGTTTGTATAATTATTGTAAAACCTTTGTAGCTATAATGGATGTCATAGTCTGTTACCTTTAGTTTGGTGTAACTTTGATTAGATTTGATTATAATTGTACTAATGTAATTAGTTAAATAGATAATTAATTAACTATAATAGTAAATGGCAAATGTATGTATTACAAGAACAATTATATACTAAAAGTAACCTGTTTTTAAAACGATAGTAACTGTTGTGACGATTTATTGATTTATAGATAAAATTTAAATCATGAGCTTTTATAAAAATATTATAATTGTTTTAATATCATAACAAACTTGAATATAATTTTTTTTAATTCAAAATATATAAATGTATTTAACATACACTTTCTTATATAAAAATATTTTATAGGTTCTAAACAAAAAAAAATCTTAAGATGATATATCGGCTCAAAATAACTGTATGAATATACATGTTACCATGTTCCACCAAAATATAGTAAAACGGCTTAGTGTTAAAAATCAGATATTTTTCGAAAAAATTTCAAGAAAATTTATATTAATCGAAAATCGAAAATAATAATAACATTAAAGCTTATATAGCAAGTGCCCTATAGTATGTGACTAATGAAAACATTTCTAGGTACAGCATTATAAAACATGCTAAAATGTTAGCAAGGAAAATAGACGTAATACTAAATAGAATATAACACATTTATAAAGGTAATTTGGTTTTTTATAATACATTTTTTGAAGTGCTCTCTTATTCTTAACTTTATTATTATCATTTTTTAATGAGTTTAAAAAAATAAAATAAAAAATAGCTTTGAATTTTTGGTGGTAATCACTCTGATTAATTAGATATTAAAGTGAACTGTAAATTATAAATACCCTATCACCATAAGAAAAGTGAAAAAAGCAACAATTCAGTTTAGGATTTACAAGTATTGAATCAATTGTCGATTGATCCATCAGATTCAAATTTCAATCCGGATTTTATTTATTTTTCAATTGATATAATTTTTGTAACGATATAAATGTTGATTGTCAAATGGATTCAAATTTTAATCAGGTGGATTTTAATAGAAGTCGCGGCAACGCGAGGCTGAGTTTGCTAGTGTATATATATGTATATATATATATATATATATATATATACCGTGGAAAACGAGTCAGGTGATGCGAAACTACAGACTAGAAAACCGCAACCACGAGAGCACGTGCTGCAGGTGGAAATCGGATACGGAATAATTCGATAACGCGGAAGCAGGAAAAAACTTTTCTTTCCGAGAAATGGCACGACGACCCATATTTGATATCTAAATGTAATATGGAAAATAAAGCCTTCGGTTCTATATTTTTTACTATGGTAAAAAAATCTATGCTGAAAAATCTGTTTACAATTATAGTATCTACACAACTATTGATTCTCCTTCAAAAATTTACGTAGATTCAAATAATATGAAAAATGAAATACCTGCAGTAATAAGAAAAACTCGAAAATCTGCAGATGAAATCAAGATGGATAGTTCTGTTAGTACTAGAAAAAATGTAAGAACTAGGAAGTTTTGATTTTGTAAATACAGAAAGCTCAATATCTGAATCTGATCGAATGATTCTAACTAGATCCAGTAAAACTTGAAAATAGTTCGTCAGAATTACATTGTTATATTTTCAGTTATGTACTATTATGAACTAATTAAATTTAATTGTCCAAAATGCAAATACCATTCACCAATTGTTTTACTGCCATCAGAATTTGAAAAGGCGTTCGAAAATAGAAAGAGATATTTGACTTGGATAGATCAGACGTAGATTTTCATTAGATTAAAGCTACTAGCAAAAGATAATCGCAGTATGGTCTAATATGAAATAAAAAATGTAATAAATAGAAATCACAATACAGGCAATAGTATTTTCAAATCTTTATGAGATATTATTTATTTTTAATGTCTCATTATTTTTTTAGTTAAAAGCTATTTGATATTGATGAAAAGCTCCATATAGCTAATTCCCACATTAGTCTATAAATGATTTAAAACATACGACCAAAATGCCTCTCCGAATGTTGCGGTGTATCTCTAAATAACTTCAAATAAGGGAAAAGGGGAAAATTCCGCGAATTGAACAAAGACATATCTATTCCCTAGAACGCGATCTTCAAGTAGGTTGCGAGAACACGGTGGCTTGCGGTGAGCTGCTACAAATGCGGGCGGGAAATTTGAATGATTTAATCGTGAAGTGATTGCATTCAGGAGAGGGAGGTATGAGAAAACAGAATTTGTAGAAACATGTGGAATAAGTGGAATGATTACTAGAATTACTGTGATTACTTATTACGCAGTATCACGGCTTTTGAATAAATGAAGTTTGCTAATGAATAAATGATGCTTTGACTTAACTGACTTTTTCTTAAATTTTATTTTCAATAGCATACGGAATACAGGACAATCTATGAGCTATTTGCCTCATGTCATTCACTCGCACACACTTTCAAACACTGATCTGATGTGATCTAATAAATATTATATTGATAGTTAGAGAATCACTTCAATAAGTAATTCTATTATTGTGTTCATATAAAGTTGTGGTAGTTCTAAAGGGTCCTCCATATTATCTTTGGGCAGCTTCTGCATTAGTCTTCTTGAAATTTGTGTCTCAAAAAGAGTGACTGTAGAGTTTGTATGAAGTTCTACTGACATGGAACTAACTGTCGTGAATTTTATAGATAAACCCTCATACAGTCGTCTTATTTTTGACATAAATTCACTATCACAATTTTTGTAATACTGGTGAATTTTTTGATGCAGCAATGACGGGAGAAGGCTAGTTTTGCCTAGAAACATATTATTTCCGGGTAAACCGAGTTTGAGGTCAAACTCAAAACTAGAGTGTGCTCGTCCACGTTGCTAAAAAAAATATCCTGTGCTTTTACACGTATTTTCACGAATCTTGTTTTGTATGGAATATTTTAAAAAAATACTTGAGGCGAATGTCGGTGTCTTCAATTTAAAATAAACAATGACTCTCAATTGTTTTAAATTGTATTTCTATTTTTTTAATGTCGCAAACCCTGTACGATATCAATATTACAACTGATATGAAAACTTCAACATAGACTATGAAAATCGAAACAGAGAGGTAGACGATGATTCATTGCTCCCTAATTTCTTAAATAATTAAATTAAATGTCAACAATATATATTAATGCTAATTTATTCATAAGATGGTTAAATTTAGCGTTCATCATTATTTATTTCTTTTACTAGATAGCTTTAGAAAGCATCACCGAAAAGACTTGAAAATTCAACTATTTGAAAACATAATGATAAATACTATGTAGCTGCTAACAATAAATTGAGTATAATTAAATATAATGCTACTGGCACTAAATAGAACATACTTCTTTTATTTATGATATAAAGTAAAAAACATATAAGTGTAGAATTATATAAATTGAATTGTACATATTAAAATTAGTTATTTTAGTAATAGATTATAAACATTGATAACTTTAGTAAATGATCTGGAGTTAGAAGACATTAGTACTGTTGTTGAATTTAAATAAATCTAATGACTTAGGAATAAGGCACATGAAAGACCTAGAAATGTTAAATGATAACTCGTCAACAATTTAGTGACAATTGATTGCATCGTTACCATAATTTTAAATAAGAACAAAATACTTTAAATAAAACTACGTAAGGCAAGATGTTGTATGTTAAATTTATTCAGTAATAAATTGTTGACATATATACGCTCATCATAAGTTTTATATATTCTCAAATATAGATATTTTCAGATTGTTGCTAAACTTTGTTAATAGAATTGAAATTATTGCTAATAGTATAATACCAAGTAATCGATGCAGACTCAACCTTGAAACATTATTATGTAGACT